CTGGGCGGAAAATGAGGCCTTGACTTCAAGTTAAATAAGTGATTACAGGCAGCAGAATATGGGGATTCAAACCCAGTCCCTTGACTTACAGCCCAGTGCCCTTCACAATACATTGCATAGGCCTCCATAAGTTCATAGCACCGCACAGTCAACACTGGCCATCAGCACGATACACTGGGCTGAATCTGAAAGACATCACGCCAACCAAAGGGATAGGGGAAAGGCTGCCTACAGCAGGGCACTGAGGAACTTAGGGGAGAAGGAATGTCCTGTATTTAGACTGTGGTCCTGGTTCCATGAACTGTATGTGTTTGTCATATTTCAAAGACCTGGACACTAATGAGGGCAAGTTCTACTGGGTGTAAATTATACCTAATTTTTTGTTTTGTTTTGTTTTGTTTTTATACCTGAATTTTTGTTAAAAAGCAGCCTAAAATCAAAATGGCGATGATAATGGTAATGATAACCTTAAATGCCAAAAGGCAGCCATGTTTGTGGCTACTTCAGGGAGGTTTTCGAGATGCTGAGGTCAGAGCAGGAAGTTGCCCTGTTTGTAACAGTCAGTCAACCTCAGTCTAGGACTTCCCACTGCAGACTCTGCTGGGAGGCTTTCCACCTGCACACCCCCACACTCCAACCCCAAGCCAGCTTTGCTCCCACTTCCCTGACTGGCAGTGAGCGGCAGTGGCCTGCCCAGTAATCCTGGCCACCACCCGACGTTGGGACAGCCCCCTCCTTGCTCCTCCACAAACCACTGTGACTCACCGATCCTGTCTTTCCTCTGGCACAAGGTCCCCAGCCCCACCTCCACCCTGGCTTAGGCACTCACCTGCCACACCTGGATGATACTAGTGTGATACCTGCCCTCTGGCCTCAGCCCCTCAGCCCGCCTGCCCAGAGTTCCGGGATCCTGCCACCTCCTCACTCATGGTCATCAAAGATGTGGCAGGAACTCCCTGACCCAGTTCAGAGACCTCCACAGACCAGCCCCAACCCACAATTAACTCCTAGATTGCCCCCCACCCCCGCCCCAGCACAGGACGCCTGCCCACTTGCTGCCCCCAGACCAGCTCTCAGCTGAAAACAGCCTCAGTATCAGAATCAGAGGCAACCCTGGTGGGAGGCATAAGGAGCAAGGGAAAGGAGAGAGAAGGAGATGTCATAATCATTAAATCCTAAACTCCCCACGACCCTGTCTGGACACCTTGGTGATGGGACATTCACTGACCCCCAAAGCAGCCACTGCGCCTTTGGACAGCTCTGAATTCTCTCCCGTGGCCCAGGCTCCAGTGAGCAGATATGTGATGACCTTGACCTCCTCCCTCCTGGGTGCTCTCTGCCTGTTCGCTCAGCCACTATCTGAACTCAGGGCAAGGGGTCCCCCAGTCATTTGGCCAGAAGAGAAACCTCTCATTCTCATTCTACTGTGTGGCCCAAGAACAATTTTGCTTTTACGGTAACCACATCCTCCTGCCCACTGGGGTGGCAGACCTGTCCCTCACCGACAGCCCTTTCCGTTCTTCCCAGAACTCTTTCCTTTCATGTCTGCACATCTTCCTTTCCCTGGCATTGGCTTCCTGGAGTTCCCCTCCTTGTTTTTTGCTACTCCTTTTCTCTTGAATTATTCAGAAAATGTTTACTTGGAAATTAGTTTTACAAGCCACTCTAAGCATTTTCCCCCACAGTGCATCCTATGAATAGAATAAACAAGCCTCAATTATAAAATGATACATGAATGCATCCAAATTGCAGTGGTTTAAACTGTAATTTTCATTGACAAAGACGCAGCCCCCAGGATGTGCAGATTATCCCAAATTTCATCAAATTTGAATCGGAGTGGAAAACATGCCCTGAATGGAGTGGTTAACCTGATGATCCTAACTGAAAATAACTGTTCTCTTTCCATTCTAAAGGACTCAAAACTGGTGAAGTTTGGGGAGCTTATTGATCTCCCGTCGTTCTATTGAGAAACAACCAGCTCTATTTCCATGGAGACCAAGGACTCTGACCACTTGGAAAAGCCCCAGAAAAAATCAGCGGATGGCCCCTGGGAACTTGCTAATGAACCAGCCAAGGTGAGACCTGAGTTACTCTCAGAAGAAGAGAAAATGCCCCAGGCCGACCTGATCCAAGACAAAGAACCCCGTTACCACAACCTAATTCAGAGAAACTCCATCTTCAATCGCACCGTGAGACGCAGAAGCAAAGGCAAAGCCAGAGACACTCCCAAGTCAAACGCTGGGCACCTGGCAGGTCAGTACCAGGGACAGCTGTCACAGCTGTTCCTTGGCATCCAGCTGGAATCCTCAGGGCTGAAGGGCCCTAATTGAAGGAAAGGAGCCTAAGAGGCAATGAAAATGATCAAGGATAGGGCCACCATTTTGAAACCATTATCTAAAGCAGTGATGGCGAACCTATGACACACGTGTCAGAGGTGACACGCGAACTCATTTTTTTGGTTGATTTTTCTTTGTTAAATGGCATTTAAATATATAAAATAAATATCAAAAATATAAATCTTTGTTTTACTATGGTTGCAAATATCAAAAAAGTTCTATATGTGACACGGCACCAGAGTTAAGTTAGGGTTTTTCAAAATGCTGACACACCGAGCTCAAAAGGTTCGCCATCACTGATCTGAAGAATTCGAATACCCCCAATATGATGATGGGAATCTTTCAGGAGAAAGTGTTGACCCAAATGATACAATAAATTTGTAAAAGGTGTTTGGTTTTAGGACTCAACAAAACACCCCCGGAGGGAGGCTTGGAGCTATCCTTGTTTAGGGGCATCTGGGAACACGAGGCTCTGTCCTGTCTTTTCACTGTCACCAGAGTTTCTGCTGATCTGAAAATACATGAGATTAATACCTTGAGAAGAGTTTTGCAGCAGGAACCCTTAATCTTTTAATCCAGTTTTCGCACAATTTTATCTGCTCAAAGTCTGTTCATTGAGCAGAATAAAGTTCAGAAACATTTACAAATGGGGGTATGAGAGCTACGGACTCTTCCTTGTGACTGGTTCACATGGCTGAGTGGACAGCATGCTGGTGTCGTCCCTGGGGGGTGGCAGCTGCCACCGGACGGACAGTATGGCAACCCCTGTTTTAAATCCAGGGGCTTCATTAACTCGATCAATAACTCCTTACTTAAACTCTATCCGGTAGCCTTCTGCTACATGAGAAACCACCCTTAAATCACAGGGACAAAACAATGTTTTATTATTTCTCATGATTCTGGGGGTTGGTAGGGTGGCTCCTCTGTCTGGGCCACTTTGACCTTTGCGGTCAGCTAGTGGCTTTGGCTTATCTGGGTTTGGAAGATTAAGGAAAGCCTTGCTGGCCTCTTTGGTGGCTAGTGAGCTGGTTGGCCCAAGAGGGAACTCAGCTGGGACTGCTTGTCTCTGCTCCATATGGTCCCTCATCCTCCAACAGGCTAGCTTGAGCTTGTTCACATAGCAACAGGCTTCCAGAGAGCAAGAGCGGAAGCTACCAGGCCTTGAGACCTGGCCTGAGGTCCCACACAGTCACTTCTACCACATTCTTTGGGTCCAAGCAGCTCACAGGACCAGCCCAGATAAAAGCAGATGGAGAAACTGACTCTACTGCTTGATGGGAGGAATAGCATAGAATTTGTGGTTATTTGCCATCTGCCAAAAACACTAACAAAGTCACAGGTCAAGAACCGTGCCAGCAAGAGAAATACAATGACTGAAACACGACAGTCGTGGAGGTACATTATATTATTCTCCCAACTTTTGTTGGAAATTTTCCATAAGTTAAAAATTACACACAAAGAATTCCTGCCCTGGAGGAATTCACAAGATTGTAAATGATGTCGTTTTATGGCAAGCAATGTGTCCAAGTTACAAGAGAGATAAAGGCAAAGAATTAGACCCTTCTGGTGGGATTAGGAAAGATCCCTCAAAGAAGATGAAATTTTAGATGAGTCTTAAAGGATGAGTAAGGACATGGCCAGAGAGACAATGGGAGCCAACTTGGCTAAGCACTTACAGGTACAGATACTATGTCAGGCCGGCATTTCAAGGGTATCCTTACCATACCCATTTTACAGATTTTTAAAAAAGAGCAACTGAGGCCCAGAGAGATTGAAACACTTACCACAAAGCACACAGCTAGTGAGCTGCAGCTTGAACTGGAGTTCAGATTCTTCTAGTCCCAAAGCCTGTGCAGATGGAGAAACAGGTAAAGCAGCTCTGTCCAACAGAAATATAATGCGAACCGCATGTCATTTTAAATTTTCCTTGACAACATTAACAAAGTAAAAGGAAATGGGTTAAATTCATTTTAACAATGCATTTTACTTAATGCAATACATCCAAAATATTATCATTTTATCACATAGTCAATAATCAATATAAAAATTAGTAGTGAGGTGTTTTGCACTTTTTTTTTTTGCACTATGCCTTTGAAATCCATTCAGTAGTTTATACTTACCGCCCCTCTCATTTTCATTGGAAAGGCTTGATGGGGATTTAGATTTCATAAAATGTACAGTCAGAAAAGTGATTTACATACCCAGATTGTTCCAAATATCCTTAAAAGTTTTCCAATAACTGACTGGTGTACCAGTTTTTATATTTAAATTTAAGTTAATTTAAGTTTTAAAAGTGAAGAATCTACTTCCTCAGTCACACTAGCCTCATTTCAAGTGTGTATAGCTAGCGGCTGCCCCATTGGACAGCACGGGTTACAGCATGAAATCAGAGGGAAGAGCTATACAGCTGCCTAGGGTCAGGGGCGGGGGCTTTCTGAGCAGGAGAAAAGGTGGGTGTGGGGCTGTGTGTGAGATGAGGCTGGAGAAAGAAACGGAGTCACTGGGGAAAGAGCCTCGGGTTTGTGGCCTCCAAGCCGAGTGGAGAATGCTGACGCCTGGGTAGACTGCAACAGCCCCAAAGATGCCATTTATGTCCAGACCAGAAATTTTCAGCAGACTCACAGTTTTATTTTTAAAGTGACTCCCTCCATTCACCCTCGCCCCTGCCCCTTCCCCCCCACCGCCCTCCCCAGGAGTTAACTCCCCAAGACAGCCCAGCAATGCCTGACCCAGAGTCCAAGGGAAGAAATGGTGTCCTACACTCCGCCCACAGGGAGCAGACGAACAGCCTCCTGGCATCAGCCTGCTGTGGGAATGCTGTGCTTTGGGAGTAAAACATATGTCTTTGTCTTAAATAATTTTAGGAATATGAGTTAGTCATGAGACTTACTCATCTTCCTGGGACATATGGATTGGTCTATTTTTCTACAAAACTGGAGAAATGAACCCAGTTCTAAATGAACGCATGACAAAAGAAAACATGTGAAGAGTTTTGATTTTTATTTACAAAAAAAATAAAGTCACTTCCTAATTCCCTAAAAATAAAGGCAGACTCACTTGCACTCTGAGTTCACGGTTTGTGATTTGGGTCTAAGAGGTGAGGACATTCCCCGTTTCATCTGCTAAATGGGCACCCTTTGAAATCACACTAGAGCATTGACAAACAACCCCCTATGGGTGATCAGACACTCTGCAGGAATATTGACTAGGACGTGGACATTGTAAAGTCCAAAAAGATTAACTGGCAAATGAGTTTGTCCTGTAGGAACAATAACACCATAGGTTATGGTTTTATTGCCATCTAAGACACTAACTAGATTTCTAAGTTTGCAATCTCATCTCCAATATTCTTTCTTCCATGTATGTATGTATGCACTTCTATATATCCATGTGTGTATGTATATGTGCATGGATCCATGAACTTTATAATTTTCAGAGAGATGATCATCAAATACAGCACAAGGTGTGCCACATCCCCTCTCCCCCCAGGGGTGTGAGAGGAAGGACACCCCTCTCCACTTCCCCTCCCTCCCCTCCTAGGGTGATAGTTGTTACTGACCTGTCAGAGACTATTGCCTGAAAAGGGGAAACACACACTTGCTAACTTGCCACATTTCTTAAATGTCACAGATTCACCGGAAAATGGAAAATCTGTAAAAGAGCTCCCGGCCTTGAATTTCTCGCAGAGCAGAACGCCCCTTTGGCCAATAGAAACTCAGACGGACCCAGGAGCCAAGAGAACGAGGTGAGAGACAGGGCGTCATGAGGAGCTGGTTCATGACAAGCTGGAGCAGGGACATTGCTCAAAGTCTTGGTGGGAGACAAGGGTGTCTTGTGTTGTTGTTTTTTTTTAAAAAAAGGTAATTTTTAGTTGTTCATGTTTTAAAAATCCACAATTTTCTTTTTAAAAAATAATGCCATTGTTACTCTTCTGTCACAAAACTAGGAAATTGTAGATATTACATACATTGAGAAGCAGAAAAAAAAAAAGAAAAATCACTATATCACCACCACTGAGAGAGGTTTTAATCTATTGTACTGGCTTCAAGTCTTGTTTTCTATATTCCTTATACATATTTTATCCTCATAAGACAGGATCTTACTATACATCCAGTCTTGCAAATTACTTAATGGTATGTCACAAACACCTCTCTATGTTACTACATATTTTTCTACATAATAGTGTAGTGGCTATAAAATAATCTACAGTATGATTGGATTGTGATTTATTAATCATGCTCCTGTTGTTGGACATTTGGGTATTGTATTGGTTAGGAATGAATTTAGCTGCTTGTAACAACAACAACAACAGACCCAATAACACAACTGAACAAGACACAGGCCTATTTGGCTCCTGTGTGAAGAAGTCTGGAGGGTTGTGACAACAGCTCTTTCATGCCTTCAGGGACCGAGGCTCCTTCTAGTTCAGTGATGGCGAACCTATGACACTCATTTTTTTGGTTGATTTTTCTTTATTAAATGGCATTTAAATATATAAAATAAATATCAAAAATATAAATCTTTGTTTTACTATGGTTGCAAATATCAAAAAATTTCTATATGTGACATGGCACCAGAGTTAAGTTAGGGTTTTTCAAAATGCTGACACGCCAAGCTCAAAAGGTTCGCCATCACTGTTCTAGTTTCTACTCAGAAATCTGACAAGATGACTGCCAGAGTTCCAGCCATCACAGCCACAGTTCAGGTGGTGGAGAAAAGGAAAGCCAGGGAAGTGGGGGGAGAAGGAGAGAGGACATTTGCCAGCCTAGTCTGACCTTTTAAGGAGCTTCCCTGAAGCCCACCCAGCAATTGGTGCTTATATCTCATTGGCCAAAAGTGGGTCACATGGTGGCCACCTACACCTGTGAGGGAAGCTAGGAAATGTATGCGTTGTTTAAACCAGGTCTGTTTCTGTCCCCCTAATAAATTGGTTCCATAGTAAGAAAGAAAGAAGAATACAGGGGAGGCGGCAGCAATCAGGGTGTTACCATGGTAGTGTTCGGAAGGGCTCTCTTTTTGGCTTGCAGATGGCCGTCTTCTCACTATGTCTTCACATGGCAGACAGAGAAAGAAAGAAGCTCTTTTTTTCTTTATGTGGGTCCCACCCTCATGACCTCATCTAAACCTAATTATCATCGCATTGAGGGTTTGAATTTGAGAGGGGCGGGGCACAATTTGTCTCTAGCAATGAATTTTTACATACATATACACCCACTGACTATCAACCAGACCAAGACATAGAACACTTCTATTGTACCCTGAGGCTTCCTAACGCCTTTTTCCAGTCAATATCCTACCCTCTCAGACATAACCATCTCCTGACTTTTATCACCATTAAATTAATCTTGCTAGTTCTTGAATTTCATATAAATGGGACCATACAATATGAACTCTATTGTGTCTGACTTATTTACTCAACACAATATTTTTGAGATTCACTAATGGATGTGTGTTCTTTTTATTGCTGAGAAGTATTATCATAATATGCTTATCCACCCTTCGGTTGATACATATTTGGGTGGTCTTCAGTTTTTGACTATTATAAAGTTGCCATGAACGTATTTAGATGAGTCTTTCTATGGATATATGCACTCATTTCTCTGGGTTTGTACACAGGAGTGGAAGCTCTGGGTCTTACGACAGGTGTATATTTAACTTTACTAGAGACAGGCAAATAATTTCTCAAAATGGTTGTACTATTTCACACTCCTACCAGCAAGGTATCAAGGTTCCAGTTGCTGCAGATCCTGACCAGTGTTTGGGATTCTTAGTCTTTGTACCTATATCCATTCTAGGATATTGTGTGTCACTGCGGCTTTAATTTGTGTTTCCTTGATGACTAGTGATTTTGAGCACCATTTCATATGTTTATTGGCCATTCATCTTCTTTTGTGAAGTTCCCATTTAAGTCTTTTGCCCATTGTTTCTTTATTTTAATTTGAAAGATTTCTTATATATCTTGAATATAAGTTCCTGGTCAGATATATATATAGCAAATGCCTCCTATCAATCTGTAGATTATTTCTTAACTTTTGTGTCTTTTAATGAGCAGAATTTTTAAAATTTTGTTGAAGACTAATTTATCAATGTTTTCCTTTTATTATTTGTTCTTTTCCAACCTATCTAAGAAATATATGGCCCTAGCTGGTTTGGCTCAGTGGATAGAGTGTCAGCCTGCGGACTGAAGGGTCCCGGGTTCAATTCCGGTCAAGGCCACATGCCTGGATTGCAGGCTCGATCCCCAGTAGGGGGCATGTAGGAGGCAGCCGATCAATGATTCTCTCTCATCATTGCTGTTTCTAGCTCACTCTCCCTCTCCCTTCCTCTCTGAAATCAATAAAAATATATATATTTAAAAATTTTTATTTTAAAAAGGAATATATGATTATTTCAAGATTATAAAAATATTCTCCTATGCTTTTCTCATAGAAGTTTTATACTTTAGCTTTCCCTTTTAGGTCTGTGGTCCGCATGCATAAGATTTGCTCTAATGTCATTTATTAAAAAGAGTTTCCATACCTCCCAATAAATTGCATTGGTACTATTTTTCAAAAATCCACTGATGCAGACATGTGGGTCTTTCAGACTTCTATTCTGTTTCATTGATCTAATTGTTTTTACTTATGCCTATTTCACACTGCCTTGAATAACTGTAGCTTTATGCTAACTCAAAATCTGCTAGTGAAACCCTCCTACTTTGTTCTTTTTTAAGATTGTGTTGGCTATTTGAAGTCTTTTGCATTTCTATATAAATTTTAGAATCAGTTCGTCAATCTCCAAAGAAAGTCTGTTAGGATTTTGGTTAAGATTACATTGTCACTAGAGATAAATTTGGAGATCAACGACATCTGAATATTGGCACCTTAAATTGTTCAATCTATGAACATATCCTAGCTTTCCATTTAAATTAATCCAGCAATGATTTGTTGTTTTTAGTATAGAGGATTTACACATATTCTAATTACATTTGTTCATAAGTATCTAATGCTTTTGTTCCTATTTTAAAGTCGATGTTTATTCATTTCATTTTCAACTGTTTATAAGTAGGATGCTTAAAAACAATTACTTTTTGCATGGCCACCTAGTATCCTTTGATCTTGATATTCATTTATTAGTTCTAATTGTTTGTTTATTCCTTTAGATTTACTAAGCACACAAACAATCCTGCCATCTGTGAATAAAGACAGTTTTAGTCCTTTCTAATCTTCATGCCTTGTATTTTTTTTTCTTATTTTATTGAACTGGTGAGGACTTCTATTACAATGTTGGATAGAAGTGACGAGAGTAGATATCCATGTCTCAGTCACTGGTCAATTGCTTTTGATAACAGAGATCAGAAACTTACTCAAATTTGTTCAAGTGAAGGATGCTGAAATCCCACAGAACCCAAGTATAAAAGAAGCCCAGCTTTACAGGAACCAGAGCCACTTTCTCCTATTCTCAGGGCCATGAGGCCCTCTTTATGGATCGCTCTGTTCTCCTGCTCTCCCCAGACCAGCATTTCTCTCTGTGCACTTGCACATGACCTAGATTGGCAGCCATAGCCAGAGTGACCATTCAGCTTGGCTCGCCACAGCCAATTGGGACTTCTTTCTGTATCTCTTAAAAAAAGAAAAATTCTAAGGAAAAGAATCTGATTGGCCATCCTTTGGTCAAGTGTTTATCTCTGGTCCAATCAGCTAAAAGAAAAGGAGGCAGGATTAATGGGGCCATTCCAACTTCATCAGTGAGAGCTGTATTTGGGAGAGTCTTTGAGAAGTATGTGAAGAAGAGCCAGGCACCCAAAACATATCTCATGTAGTGTCCGGGTCTCCCATATAAGAGAATGACAAAGGGGACTTGGTGGGAACATTAAAAATGGCGGCAGAGTAGGTGGATGCTGCATGGACATGCTCCCGGGAACAAGCTGAAATTACAACTGAAATATGGAAAGGCTTCCTGAATAATCAATGGAAAACTCACAGGAGAGGATACTGATATCCAAAGACCGAAGGTGGAGACGCATAGAGACTGGCAGGAGGGGCAGAGGCTCAAAAGGGCTGGCTGGGCACCCACAGACAGCAACTGAAGTCCAGAGAGATATCTCAGCTGGGGGGAGGGGTGCCACTCAGAACTCTGGGATCTAATCCCCAAGCTGGGCTCCCCAGCAGAGAGCACCAAATCTGAGGCAGGTACCAACATAACATCTAGCTGTGAAAAGCAGTGGGGTGCTGTCTGCCAGGGTGTGGCAGCTGAAAGTTCAGGCACCATCTGGAAGGGCCAACACACAAAAATTCCCTGTGGAGCCACCCACCTTGTGCTCTGGCAGAGGGAAGGTGAAGTGGACTAAAGCTGTGAGAGCAGAATCCAGGACTGGGGACTCAGAGTGATAAAGCTCAGAAGGCAGGCACCACAAGTTGCCTGGGCTGAGTCATTCCCTCACACAGTGGAGGACATCTTTCCCACATAGACATTTGCCTTGCGTGGGGGGAAGACAGTCGACACAACCTGTTGGAAAACACCTTGCCCTGAGGCCACTTAAGAGATTAAAAGTAACAATTAGCCTCCAAGCAGAAGCAACCACCCTACTCTGTTGAAAAAAACTCAATACACCTGAGGATGATTGCCCGGGAGCAATTCAAGTCGAATCCTATTAGTCTGTAGACAGAGGTGGTCTCTGGAGGCTTTGAGTCTCTGCCTGATCCAATTTGTCAGAAACAGCTTTTAATACTGTCCTGCACTAGAGATTGAGAGGTGTAGAGGATC